TTGAGATTTCAGTCCGGTGCTCCAATGTGGGTCTCTGTCTCTGTCTCCTTTCATTGCCTGATGAAGGTTAATATTCAGGAGGATGCCTATATGTTTTTCTTTGGGTTCTCCTTCTTATTTAGCTTCTCTAAGATCACGAGTTATAGGCTCAATTTTGTTTATTTTTGACCTTTTTGTTTTTTTAGGTTCTTGAATATCAATGACAATATAGGATTTTATTGCTAATATCTACAAAGCACAGCCTGATGGGATTGTTATCATTACACAAAATACATAGCAGAAATTTGGAAAGGAGTCAAAATCTTCATAAAAAATAAATCCTCTAGTTTAAGATCATGGAGTAGCTCTCCTTTAAAAATGTCTCTAATTATTTTCACCAATATATTGTAATAATCAATATAGAGTTTTATCATTTAATTTACACCATTGATAATAATATTTTAAGTACTTCTAGCCTTTTTATATAATATGTGAAAATTATATTTTTATAATGATTTTAAGCAACATGTTCTTTTATCATAACTGTTTTTCTACTCATTTGTAGGTAGTTTCTCTATTGTTGCAGGTATATTTATGTATATATGTATTTTTCTGTGAGGGCATAGATTTTCTAGCCATGTACTAATTGTGCAAATGGACAATCAGTGACCTACAACCTCAGTCACAGAGAATTATGGATTCTTTTCTATTTAGCTTGTGGTTTGTAATTATCCTCAACTAAGTATATTAATTCTAGGGCCTTTTTAATTTTCTACAACCATATTTTACTTAAATAAACATAGTTTTACTAATAAAGTTTAAGCAAATATCCCTTTATTTTTCTATAGTTAATTTAGCAAAACTATTCATATAATTTGAAAAGAAAATGTTGAAAATGATTTTGATCATTTCGTGTTTCATCACCTGAGTATACTCTTTCTGCTTTAACAAACCATCACAGGCTAGGAGCTTCCAGCAATGCAGTTATTTCTAGGGCTGTGAAATCAAGGACGAAGAAGTTTTTCTTAGTTAGGGTTTTTGTTTTGTTTAGGTTTGGTTTACTCCTCATTTTAGAGACAGAGTTTCTCTGTGTCGCCCTGGGTGTCCTAGAACTCAATCTGTCTGTAGGTAGGCTGGCCTTGAACTTCCTCGTGCTGGTTTCAAAGGTTTAAGCTACTATGCTCAGCTATAGTTAGGGTTTCTATTGCTGTGATAAAGCATAATGGCCAAAAACAACATGGGAAAGAATTTTTTTTTCCTTACAACTGTCATATCATATGTCATCACTGTCAAGGTATGAATTCAAAGCAGGAATCTAAAGGCAGAACCCATGGAGGAGTGCTGCTTCCTAGTTTGCTGGGTTTGTTTCCTTATATAACCCAGGTCCAATTCCCATAGTAGCATGATCTAAAATGGTTGTGCCCTCCTATTTTAATCATTAATAATGATAAATATTGCTCCACAGGCATCCTAGAAGTTCATCTAATGGAAGCATTTTCTTCATGTATGCTCTCTCCTCTCAGATGCTACTAGCTTATGTCAAATTGAGAAAACAATAACTAGAATAATCCCAGAGGAACCGATTCCATATGTAGTGATTACGTACTTACTAGATTACAGAGGACCACTTTTTCAGTGTATCCCCACGTGGACTAAAGAGTACTGGCACTGGAAACTGAAGTCTTCATCTTCATGTTCTCAAGTAAGATAGCATCCCCAAAGTTCCAACTAACATTGTAACACAGGTGTTGAAGCCATAAAGATGTGAATAATGAGCCAAATTAAAAACATTCACATCATAAAATTTTAAGCATAAAGGTAACTGTGTTAACCTGGAATCCCATGAAGGATTGAAGTACTGATCTCTAAATTCCTGTCTTTTTAATTTATTTAAAAGTAAATATTGTATGTGTTATAATGAAGTTTATTGATATACAATGTACACATGAAAAGTACACACTCCTATGCTTTTAGTATATTTGTGTATGTGTTTTCACATATTGATGGAACATGGCTGCATTTATTTCTTTCCTCTAAGCTCTTTGTGACTTCCTGCTGTCTGCTCTACTGGCTCTCTGTGGTCTCTAATTTCATTTACTTGCATTTCTGTGTTTTCCTAGTTTAGTTCAAAGAAGGACAATGCTGTTTCTTTTTTTCAAAAAAAAAAAAAACAATGTTGTTTTGAAGTAATCTTTTGGATTCTGGAGAAATGTTTTAGCAGTTAAGAGCTCTTGCTGTTCTTCCTTCTAGAGAACCCAAGTTCCATTTTCACAACCCAAGTCAGCTGTTCACAAATTCCTGTAATTCCAGGTCAGGTGAATCTGATGTGCTCTTCTGGCTCTACTGCCAGAAGCACACACGTGTGCTAGACATAGATACACATGAATAAAAATAAAATAAATATTTTTAAAGGAGTGTTGTGTTTTGTATGTTTAAGTTTCACTTTCATTTACTTCTGATACATAATACATTTTTTCTTTCTTTTTTTCTGATTTGTTGTTTTGTTTTGTTTTTTGGGGTTTCTTTTTGTTTGTTTGTTTTTCAAGACAGGGTTTCTCTGTATATCTTTGACTGTCCTGGAACCAACTTTGTAGACCAGGCTGCATGTCTTTGCCTCCCTGAGTGCTGGAATTAAAGACGTGTGCTACCACTGGTTGGCTTTTTTCTGGTATTTTTTTTTTTCATTTCTACTAATTTCTTCCAGTTACACAGCTTTTGCTTGCATTGTTAGATGGCCTAGTTGAAGTCTTTCTGTATTTATGACATAATTATTCTTTGCTATAGACTTGTAATTTATTGCTTTTATGTCATGCTTTAAAATTTTGCTTATGTTTCAACTATTTTGCTTTAAAAACATGTGCGGATGCATTTATCTTTGGTGTTTTGATATTGTTGTACATTATTTTCAGTTTATCTTACTAGTCTCTAATTTTTTATTATCTTTATTATTTTTGTTGTCAAAATGAACACATATAATTATTTTTCAATTTTTATCATATGTTGACACATATTTTATTACCTAAAGAATAATCTATCATAAATAATGTTTCCCTTTCTGATAAAAATATGTGTTAATAGGTGTTAGGTACAATATTGATTAAAGTTTGTGAGGTTCACTTATTTTATAGTCCAGTTTAAAGCTAATATTTCTTTGATTTATATAACTGGGTTATTTGTGCTTGAGAATAATGAGACATTCAAACCTCCACAATTATGTTACACGATTTAAACACTCCTTATATGTTTATTGATATTTGGTTTATGCCAAATGCTTTAAACTTTTACATATGTAAATTAAAGTGATCCTGTGCAAACTCACAGATACTTGAAACCCACCCTTTATGTACACAAGAATGCTGACAGATCAGTTCAAGAACAAAGTGTCACATCACTATATACATATTCTTATATCATCTTGTACTTGCTGCATACCTTAACACAAAGTTCAAATTTTGATTCTAAATCATTTATGATTACATGACAAATATATATATCTTAGTTATATACCATTAATACAGAGTAAAACTGTGTTATATGTTTCATTTATATATTTAATAAATCCAAGAACTATATAAATATATGTTGTTACTGGATTATTTTTCTGGAAATTATTTCATTGATTATGAGTTAAAAATCAAACATATTTACCCATCATAATCTGTATTGATTCCTGCAAATTTCACTGTTTGACAATTTACAGAGAAGATTAATAGATAAAGCATAAATCCTACAAAAGATGTCACCGCTGTAAATCTTAATTTGTTCTTACAAGACATTTCCAATCTGTCAACAATTATACCTCCCAGAAAATGGCTGATTACAACTCCTGGAAATACCATCATTCCTGAGTAAAGGAAAAAAAATTCTGTTAAAAAGGAACCTGTTGAGAGTACAGAAATATTACACATATGTGACAATCCCTTTAATCTAATACAGATTTTAAAAAGAAAACAAAACATAAAACCTAGAAGATGTGGTATCTGAATAAACCTAGACTTTATGATATATATAATCTTGTGCATGGGAATGGAGTCATTGAAGGTTTACTGGATTGTGGTAGAAATATTGATGTGTTGCTTCAAAGCACTGACTATCCAGTACAGACTAGGAACTTAGTCCATACCACATAGAAGTTATTGAGCGCTATTATTACTTAGCTATTTGAATGCATGCTTATTGTAAGAGACTTAATTGAAATAACAGGCTTTCTCAAACAGTCAGATCAACCTACTACCTGAGAATTCTCATAGATGGTCAACATGAACAGTCTAACAATGTGAGTATCCAGAATATCCAAGATCAGCTATGTTTTTTCTACTTTAGCATAAAATATTTGGAAGAGAAAATCACAGGGAGAATATAAGCTGAAAAGTAAAAACAGTAAAAGAGAAGGAATAGAGAAACGGAAAGGACTCAGAATAACAAAGTGCCCTCACACATTTCTACAATCCAATCATATCCAAATGAGGACCATTGTGTGAAGAAGTAACAGGTAGAGAAAAAATACTAATAACAACACAAACACAAGATTAAACCATGCCATAATAATACATAACATGGAATGTTCAATTAAAACGGAAAAATTGAAAAAATGTCATGCAATACTAATTTAAAGTGTGTCACATTTGTTTTATATAGCTATAAAACATTTGTTTAATGATGCAAACATGTATTACATTCTTTTTTTTTTTTGCAAGAAAGATTTTATTCTGGCTTAGAATTCCAGAGAGATACAGTGCAGGGAGTCATAACATCAGAAAGGAAAAACATGTCCAGGAAGATGATGGTCCACATTCTAATGGCACATAGGAAGATGGGACAGAGAACCAGAGGTAGAGCAAGGCTAAAAATTCTCAAAACCCACACTTAATGACACACTCCCTTCAGTGGGCTACATCTTCTAAAATTTCTATAATTTCCCAAATAGCACTATAAAGGAGGTTCAACTGTTAAAATAATGAGTCAATGAGGGGCCTTTCAAATTCAAACCAAAATAATAACTTGTTGCGGGAGGTCCTTCCGCCCCTCCAACCAATAGCTGCTGTGATACCAGCCCATTGGGGCGTGGTCTCTTTCCCTTTAAAAAAGCGGCAACTTCCTCTGCTCTCTCTCTTCACTTCCTGCTCCACCAGCAATTAGACTTCCTTCCTGGTTGCGCAGAGGGCTGTTGTCTGGGACTGTGATCTGTAAGTTAAATACCACCCTTTTAATCATAATTCCAAACTGGTGTGGCATTGTTCGTGACTTATGCCTTCAATAACTGGGTTGTCTTTTTGAAATATGAGGAAAAAAATAAAATTTATGAATCAAATAGGTTATTTTTATGGAAACAGCACATCTTTGAATCTCATATCTAAAAAACAATTTTAGAGTATGTTTTAAATCTCAGGATGTATGGATACATAATAATTGATATCTTGTTTTACTTTTTCCATAAGACCTTACAATATAGCTATTATTATAACTGCTATAATACAGGTAATTATACTATAGGCAGAAGATAATAAGTTTATTTAGCAATCATGCTAAGAGGCTAACAATGTTCTTTTGGGACTCTCCTTCTTATGAAAATATATTGATTCAAAAAGAATTGCAAAATTAAATACCAATATGGCTGATCTTCTACTCAGTGAATAAGCTAATGAAGTCAATAAACTTTTCTCAAAAGAAGAAATGCAAAGTACTAATCAAACTCCTGGCTATATTCCCACAGGAATCCAAATCCTACTAGAGATATATTTGCACATTTTTATTGCTACACTGATCTCAATAGTTAAGACATGGCACATGCCTATCTATCAACAAATAAAAGAGATATTCAAAAATAAGTTAACAATAATTAGTAACAATGACAATAAAATGAGTTACAAATGTTTCAATGAAGTTTAATTTGCCAATAAAGAAAAATGAAATCATGACTTTTAGACAGTGATGGATAGAACTAGAAGTCATTATAGCTAAGTGAAATAAGCTAAACCCATAGGGACAAAAATAAGTCTTTCATATGCAGATCAAATATTTTAATCCCTGCTTTTGGGTGTTGTATGTGGTATGTGTTTATGGTGTATGTGTGTGTGTGTGTGTATGTCTGTGTGTGTTAGTCATGAGACTAGGATGGTTCAAATGAATAGATTCTAAGTGAGGCACATCATAGAATGCTTATTTCATCAAAACAGAGGGGAATTATTAGAGGTGAGAACAGAGAACAACAGGAGAGGGACAAGCGATGGAAAAGGAAGGACTTGGGGAGTCAGATCCATAGGAACAAAGTGTAATTAGCATGCAATGAAATTGTTTCATTAAGGCCTTTTCATACACACTTTGTCCCTATTACATTCTTTAATGTTGCTTTTATTTAACTCTGTGAAGCTGTGTTACTCTGCTTGTTTAGATTACCTTATTGGTCTAATAAATAACTGAATGGCCAAAAACAAGGCAGGAGAAAGGACAGTCAGGGCTGGCTTTCAGAGAAAATAAATAAGCAGAGAAATCTGGGCAGGGGTATATCAAGAAACAGGAAAAGGGGGAGAGACAAGCTCAAGGTGTTATCCATCAAGCTACACAGCCAGCCATAGAATAAAAAGTAAAGAAATCAATACAAAAGTATAGAAAGATAAAAGCCCAGAGGCGAAAGATAACTGCTATATTTCAAGAAAAGCTGAGTAGAAATAAGCCAAGCTAAGGCTAGGCAGTCATATATAAGAATAAGCCTCAGTGTGATTTATTTGGGAGTTGGTTGGTGGACACTCTATAGATCAAAGAATCAAAAGATAAAAAAGAAACAATCACACTTTGATATAACAATGTGAGGCTCAAATTTGCATGGAGCCTAAGAAAGATTGAAAAGAAAAAGGAAAAAATAAGATACACCTCCTGTAAGAAGTTCTGTCTTAGAGTAGAAAATGTAAACAACATTTTCTCACACAAAGTAGAACCAAAAATCTAAGAAAAAAAAAAAAACACCTGCCATAGTGCATCCTGCACTGACATTCCAAAGTTGGGAGGTTGAATGTAGTTCCTGGTCAAAGACAACTCTGACCAGGTCACAAGCTTTAGGCATGGCTCTTATGAGCTTAGAATATAGAACCAGCCACAAGTGCCATTCCAAGGACCCAACAGAAGCTTAACAGTTCAAAGTTTCCTCACAAGATGAAAACAGGATAAAACTTCTATAGGAAAAAAGATTCAGATTAAAACAACAACGAAAAAAAAATCAAACCTTCTGAACGAGTTCCAGTGTGTTTTACAATGTGCATAGGCTTAAGAAAGAAAGAATGTGGGCATAGACATCATAGAGAGGAAGAGATAATTGAAAAACAATAAAATAATGTCTTAGAAAGTAAAAGTACTATAAAATAAAAAAGGCATGTAACATAGGAAAATACACAGTTAATATGGATCCTATATAGCATTGTCTTGGTTCTGAATTTTCTGAATGCAGATAAATAAATACAGCTGCTAAGAGACATGAGATTGAACTAGGAACTGATGAAATAAACTAATCTAGCTATTTAAGAATGGCAATCAAAAATGTATTTGTCAAATGGAAGTTAAAAATGCTTTGGAGAAGAGGTTTTGCTTTTGTTTCCATAGGAAATGAGAGGCTGTAGATTCCTTCAGGATTAATATGGATCATATTTGATCAAGAGAGACTTCCTGAATTTTGACAAAAGATTCCACAATGGTCTACCTAGGACTTGGCAATTATCTCAATTTTCTCTGGGACCCCTAAAGATGCTTCACACTCAGACAAAAGGAAGCAGTCTGAAAAGTATGATGCGCACATTCCCAAGAAGTGGGTAGGTGCTCCTTGGTAATTTAGTGGGTTAATGATATTTGTTATCATTTAGGGGAATATAGAAATATAAGAATTTAGAATAAAAAGACAACTATTAATCTCAGATATTTTACATTTTATGCATTTTGGTATGTTGTTAAAAATTTAAAATTATTTTCAATATATTGCATTTATGTTTCCACTCATATTTGCATATTGTGTTTATGCAGCTCCTTTAAAAATGTAATGAATAATTTAAAAATGGGTTTAGTAATTACTCTATAATAAACCTGTAGTCATGGTAAGCATGTTTCCTGGTTATATTTAGATAGATATTTTCAATATAGATATTATATTTAGATAGATAGATTATTTTCAAAAACTTCAAAGACCTATAGAATATGGTATTTAGATATCTAATGAGTTAAAATTTTTCATGAAAATGAGACACATCTGCTCCTGGGAGCACCAATTTACTTCATAAAAGGATGATGGGTATCAAAGAAACTCCATAGGAGCTTGCTTTCATTGTGGCAAAACTAGCCATTTGGGCAAGAAACAGCTTTTGCCTTGACTGCTTGACTGTGTGCTGAATCAAGTGGATACACAGAACCCACTGGAAATCAACTGTTGCATGCTGCCAAAACAAAGTGATATAGTCCTTCAGAGCTCCTGCCTAATGGAACAATCTTCCAGACATTCTGCACGTCACAGAGGAAAGTAACTGATGCACTCTGGCAATACAAGGTGGGACAGTCCTTCAAATTTCTTGTTTCACTGAAAAGTCTACCAGATCCTCCAGGCCTGTATGCTAAATATCGATGCCCCAATGCTGCAGAGTAACTTTGGCTGATTGTTCAGGCAGTAAGATGTCTCTGTCATTTCTAGAGTTTTGAAATTCCCTTACAATGTACTTCCTGTTTTCTTAAATAACATTATATCCTTCTGGGACCTTTGATGAAGTAAAAGACTATAAAATTATAGTTGTAGTTTTCCTTAGTTTTGATGGAAAATAAATTAATTATAAAACTTTGGATGCACTAAGACTAGATAAAGGAGTATTTTCT